TCATACGAAAGTCTAGTTATTGGCGCTTTTTGCCATTATTGCTCATTATTGAAAAAAATTCTCTCTTAATGTACTCCTCATGTCCACTCAGATTCGAGTAATTTTGTATTATAAGTTTTTTTGTAAATTGAAATGTCCAGGCGTTGCACGTTATGGAATTAAGTTTATCCATGGTAAAACGGTACCATTAATTCGCGACAGTATTTTTGAGTATTACTTTTTCTTTATTCATCAATTTAAGTAAAGATACCATTGTGTTACAATTAATTATTTTTCCAGAACATGGCTCACTTTCTACAAAGTAAAAATATTCATTGAGTTAAAGCTATTCGGTTTTTAACTCTTACATTATGCATAATTATTGAAGTGAATCGTATATCTTACGAGCTGTATGAAGCGGCCGGACTAAGTAGAAATACTGCTAGTTTAGAAATTGCAAAAACATCTGAGAATTTAAGCGATAATTATTTTAAGCGTGAGTGGAAAAACTTAATTATCCTCGCAGGATCCTTCAAAACATTTATGTTGCTAGCTGGTATCTATACTTTTTATTCTTGGAAACAAGTACCACTAGAACAGCGACTACGCTTCGCTCATGTGAAACTGCGATATACACTCTATTGAATGTTTACTTTACTTCGGTAAGTACCACGCTTCCAGGCTTTAAACACCTCTGTAATATGGGCAACAAGCATTCGCGGTTTCGTCGTTCAACCACCTGGTAGTAGCCTCCGACTGGTTGGTATTCGGTGGTTATCACACCAAAGACCCACGAATCCTTTGTGAGACGACCCCTGTTATACTAAAAAAAGAAAAGAAATGAATATGATACGGGTTAAGAAATTACTGTAATATAGAGAGTTAACATGAAAACGAAAAACACCTATACATAAAAATGGAGCAGGGCAGTGTGATATGGAAATAACATTATTTGAAACATTAGTGAAAAGAATATTTGTTATATCTATTTCCACCACCTTTTAGGCGGAGCGTAAAGTTTGATATCGTTTTTATTCACGAGCGAGTCTAGTAATTTAATAGTTTGTAATATATATAGACAATTTACGATTAGCTACTTGGATCTTTTACACATAAGTACGTGGAAAATACTAAAAACATACYGGAGCCCATCCAGATGCTTTCACTGTTTTAGAGCTTACCTTTCGCTTATGGTTGAATTTACTCTCGTCGCACTGAACCACACAGCCTGGTCCACCAAACGGAAGGAATGGGGCGTATTTTTCGATCTCATTGGTACAGACGTCTTGCAGGACTCTAACAAATTTGGACACCAAGTTCATGCTCGAACCCAAAGCAGTGGCATTGTATTTACTGCTATCGTCTTGTGCCCAGTAAAAAGCCATGGGCATGGCATCGCCCAAACATATCTTAGGAAAGAGCGCAAATATGCTGTTTGTTCGGATAGATCTCTTCTTTTGGCACTTATTCCATTTCCTGCAAATCACATATAATCAATGTTCAACAGGGATTCAAAAGTTGTTCTTCAGCATTAATTGGTAGAATGTGGCGGGCCAGAATGACAAAAAAATGTGACTAAATTTACAAGGCTAAAAAAATATAAACTAATCTTTACGATGAAATAAACTTTTTTATAACATGCGTAATATGCGCAATGATGAAATAAACTTTATATAATGTTTTGAAGTGAGAATACTATCAAACAATTGCAAGACGTTCAAAACATTGATGGATTGTTAAGTGTAACCAAATAGTAACGTTTGATAAAACGATGATTAGCTGTCAGCATAATTAGTAGTTCATATAGCCCGAATGACTCTTGTACTCTGACCTCTTTCTTAAATACGCCCAAACATGTAACATCGGCTACTGGCAATGATCTGGAGAAAGTAGGTACGTTAAGCTTGATTTCCTTTAGATGGATTCTAAACTAGTAATACCTTAAGCATTATGTAACTATGATTCAAATTGTCCTCGAGACTTGATTGTACTTTGTACGAACTTGTGATCGTTGTTTGCACTATCCTAACGCATGATTCGCAGTACATTATGTAATAGCCCTATATTTTAGCGAACTATAGCTCGTATGATTCTTTAATAATTAGTTTTAATAACTGATTTGTAGCTTTACGTGATTCAATAAAAGAACCAACGAGTGAATCTCAGTATACCCTAATGTTGCTCCATACGGCCRACCCGAGGAATAATTATCGCCTAATATCTGTCATCCCCGTAGTTGCTAAGATATTTGAAAAAAATTTATATGATCTATTGTATGCATATCTTAATATCAATAACTTGTTAACAAAATGTCAATCCGGTTTATGTTCATTACATAGCACATTAACAGCTCTACTTGAGGCTGCTAATAGCTGGTGTGTCAACATAGACAAAGGCTTTCTAAATGGCGTGGTATTTATTGATCTCAAGAAAGCTATACTATCAATCACGAAATYGTCATCCGGAAGCTGGAATGCTATGGAGTTGAAGAAAGAGGATTATGTTGGTTTAAATCGTATCTAAGTGATAGAACACAGCATTGCTACACAAATCATCAGCTGTCTGGTCCTCGACCTWTAACTTGCGGAATTCCTCAAGGATCAATACTTGGTCCTCTGCTTTTTTTGATATACATAAATGATTTACCGAATTGTCTAACACAAGGTGTACCTAGAATGTACGCTGATGACACAAATATTAGCTATGCAGCCTCAACAATGAATAATCTTCAAACTCAAATTAATTTAGAACTTTAAAATATCAGTATCTGGCTTAGAGCTAATAAGTTAAGCTTAAATATTGCTAAAACCGAATTCATGATTATTGGCTCACTCCAAAAGCTACAAAATCAAAGAGATAGTACCATCACCTTACGAGTAGATAATAAACAAATAAAAAAGGTTGATAAAACTAAATCTCCTGGGGTGTACATAGACGACACCTTGTCATGGAAAATCCATATTAGTGAAATCTCAAAAAAGATTTCCTCGGGATTTGGCGCACTCAAGCGAGTCAGACTGTTTATTAGTCAACACACTGCATTAACAATATACAAGGCTTTAATTGAGCCACACTTTGATTGTTGTASTTCTGTTTGGGATGGACTATCTCAGCAATTTAGTGATAATTTGCAAAAACTACAAAATCGTGCAGTCAGAGCTATCACTTGCTCGGGCTATGATACTAGTTCAGAATTATTGCTCCAAAGACTCGAATTAAATAAATTACATATTAGAAGGAGCAAACAAAAAGCTGTCATGATGTACAAGTCTCTTGAATGGTCTCACGCCCAGCTACTTACGAGATTTATTCACCATGAAAAATACTCCTTATCAATTTAGAGAATCCGACAACAAGGTTAATATTCCTAAACCTAGAACTGACTACTGTAAGAGTAGTATAGGCCGCACCGCACGGGCCGGATTTTTTGGGTGAGCAAGGGTGAGCACATTAATTATTCATCAAAACATTAGCATAAAATGGTGGGCAGGTATTGTCTTAGGTTACCATGACGACCAATTGACGTCATAGGCCTATTGTTAGACCCGTTTGAACAAGTCTTTTGTYTGGGGATTYGATTTATAGAGCGCGGGGAATTTGAATTTTTAACTCAACCAAACAAGTAAGCAAGCATGATGGCAAGTATTCGCGTGGATGAAGTCGATATCTTTGAGAGGGATCAACTGTACTTTTTGATTTCCAACATATTCCATTTGGTCTATGCCGATGAATGCGTGGAACCTATCTATGTCGAGGGGAAGAGACAGTGTTATTGCTGTGAAGTAAACCATCCGAGCCAAAGACAYCACGATTGCTTGATGTTGACCGAAGAAGAATCCTGGAATCTGTTCTATGACGATACCAAAGATACTGTAAAAATAGAAGAAGTATGGAAGCAGGTCCTCGGTGTATGCTACATGATGAATATTCCACTTCATTGCTCATGGAAGACTTATTTAAAGTGCCAYTACGATGGAATTTACGAACTTTGATATTTTTACATTTTCTGAAACTTTAAGATGTATTGAATACATAAAGTTACTGTTTTTTGTCATATTTGAGCAATAAAGTTGATTAATGCAACAAAATAAGTACTTCTTCTTTCGCCGCCATTAATTTAGAATGTTCCTGGCAGAGAGAGGCATGGTAACTAATGTATCAGCGGATATGACGTCAGTTACTCAACACAAATCTTCACATGGCTACTTCATCGTATATAAACACAGCGAATGTCAAAGTTTATATCCGAGTTTTTATTCAATTTTTATCGTTTAGAATATAATGACGGGAAGTCGGTGTGTGGTGCAACATTGCAGCAACACCGCTAAGCAAYCCAAAGGAATTTCTTTGCATTCAAGTCCATTAGTGAGGTCTCTGCGTGATCAATGGCTGCGCTTCGTCAGGATCCATCGCGCGAATTTCAACCCAACAGGAAGGTTTAATATTTGCTCAGATCATTTCGAAAMGAATTGTTTTGAAAGAAAAATGCATCTTGAAGGTTATCGGCGTTGGTTATTACCGGGATCTGTTCCTAGCATTTGGAAAAGAGGGGAAAAACCGATGGACGCTCGTTCACGACGCAAGGTGAGAGTTTCGATTTTCCCGCAAWTTTACGAACATGATTCGCGCTCTTTAAAAGATAGTAAATGTTCTGAGTACATGTGCTGTCTACAAAGAACTCTAAAAATATGTATATATTTAAAGAACGTATAATTATTTAATTTAAAATTCACAAAGAATAATAAAATTGTTTTGGCCTTAAGATTTTGAAAGAAATAATGGAGGAGAACAAGGAGCAATCGATGTCAAGAGACAGCTTGGTAAGCAAGTTATACAAATATTATTTTCATAGAGCTCACAGTGCTCCTCCATAACTAATTTTGAAAACCAAAAATGTAATGCAGGATTGTTTTTAGAGCTCAAGTCAAGTTTCAGATGACACTGATGTWGATGTTGATCCTGGTGCTAGGTCTGATCATGAAATGGCAACATTGTCCATTGACACTTCAACAGCTGACTGTGGCTTTCCATCATGTGTTAGTATATTTTTGAACTTCTATGAGAAGTATTTCATGAATTAAAACACAGGAAAAATTTGTCCATTCCTTCATAATCAATCATTCAATATATATATATATATATATTTTTTTTTTTTTTGCATCACTTTTTGCAACATTTTGTGTGAGTACTGTATTTTATTTCAGTGTTTCTCAGCTCCTGAGTACTGACCTGATAGAATACAAGCAAAACTAAAATTATATCTATTTTTTTCTTTTCTTTCTTTTTTATTTCCTCCATTTTTGTGGTAATGTTTGGACTTAAAGGAAACATCAGCTATGTCACTGGGCATTGAAGTTCCAAAAGAAAGGGAAGATTGTCAGCCTGAACAGGATACAAGTTGTGTGAGTAAAGTCACTCCGTGTTTCTCAGCTCCTGAGTATTGACCTGGTATTGCAAGATTAAAATTAAATTTATAATTTGGCTTTTTATGGACTTATAGGAAACACCCATGTCAATTCCCCTTGAAGGATCATCAGAAAAAGGAAATACTTATCAGCCTGAACTTGAAACATGTGTGAGTAAAGTGACTCAGGGTTTAATTGTCTCTGTTATTTTAAAAGTATATTTTAAAAGTAAAAACTGCTACATTAAATGTCTATCAGTTTATCTAGGTGCTTTAATTTGTTGGTGTCATTTCTTATAGATCTCATCAAACAGGTTACCAACAAACCCATGTCAAGGATGTGAATGGTTAAGAAAAGAAAAAAAGCAACTTCAGAGACAAATACGCACATTAAAAGCCAAACTGTCAAGTATAGTAATCAAGAGGAATGGGTGAAGACTTTCAGCAATCTTACTGGTATCTATTCTTATGCACATTCTCATTTCTGCATTTCAGCAAGTGAATCATAAACTTAATCTCCTTTATTTTATTCTCTCATAATTTATAGAAAATAAGCAAGACAAATCAATCCAAACTGAGAAACTAGACTTTCAAGATTCCAGTCCAGTTGATCTTGTTTCAGAGTACACCAGCTATGATGATGATGACGATGAAGATGAAGATGAAGATGATGAAGAGGAAAAACCGGAAACCCCTGATACGCAGTATGAAGATCCCCTCTGGCATCCCACAGAAGCAGAAGAGCTTGAAGCATCATCCACTGATGACTGTCATATAGGGAGTACACAGCAAAAAAAGGTATTTGAACACAGAAAACAATCAAAACAGTTATTACGAACATTGTCTAACTCTSGCTTTTTTTAAACTATGCAGGATAGATCATGAAGGAAAAAACATAAGAGATGAACCAAAGGGGATAGTTTTTCTTTCAAGACTCTTACTTTTGTTCCAGACCTGCCACATGTGCTTCTTTCCCA